AAGGCTTAAGGTAAGCCCAATAGATATTAAAAAGGGTGTTTTTAGTTTGCAACCAAAATCAAGAGGACCAAAAGAGTAATTGCACCATTGAGGATTTCAAAATATGAAAACCATTTATGAACAATGATCTCACGTTTGATTTCTTTGCCTATCTCTTTTCTTTATCTTTGTCTTCTCTTCCAAACTCCCTATCTCTTCTTCATCTTCTTCCACAACTTTCTAAGTAAAGGTAAGAGCTATAGTTCCCTTCAGACATTGTTTAGCAACATCAAGGCATGAAATGAATTCAGCACTCCCCGATCTTTCTTTTAAGCTATCAAACCACTCATTTTACCATAGTTCTCAAAAATGGGTTTTTGAAGGGTTTAAGAAATTAGACGGTTCCAATCCGTTTTGATGAAATGTAGTAGGTTTCATGAGCTTGAAGCACTCTCATGTTAGATTTCATGTTCTAGAGTTATAAATATGTTTAAAGCCCTATTTATGCTCTTTTTTATCTTCATAAAACATTAATAATGTTTGGGGACCTTACTAAGGTATTTGGAATAAAAGAATGGGAGTTTTTGCACCTATTCTATGTTCTATGCATGTTGAATTTTGATACTAGAGGGATAGTATCGAAACTTGTTCTTCTTTTCGAGCAAACTCGTGAGTTTTTGGGCAAGAGTATTGATACTCTTTCAAGAGTATCGATACTTTGGGTCATAGTTTTGAAACTCTCAGAAAGTATCGAAACTAGGCTGTCCAGAATGTTTGAAAGTATTGATACTTGTAGAAAGTATCGAAACTTTTGTAGGATTTTCGATATTCTTGGGCTAATATCGATACTTTCAGTTTATTTTGACAAAAAGGTCATTTTCTTGGGAATTAGACTCGAGGTACCCCAACACTTCAATATATCCTCAAATAAATTTTCAAGAGAAAACAATAATTAATATCAGAACATTAGAAACAAAATATATCTATTTTTACATTAAAACTAGCCTTGTTTTATGCTCGGGAAACAATCAGGACACCCGAGTTCCTTTTAGCAGAAATACGACAATCAATGGATCCAAGTCAGTTCCATGACACTTCAACAGCCGATTGGGTGCCAAATGCCCCAAGACTTGACGGAGTAAGTTGGTGGGTGCACGTTTCCGACGTAGAATTCTGGATCTCACTCAAGAGTACATGATGGTGCTTCGGCAGTGCTAGAGGGGTGTGTGAGCTCTGAGATGCAGAATCCCTCGGCTGCTCCATGATGCCATCTACAGATTAATAGTACAATATTTAGCATGTTCAGACTTGTGCTACTTTTCACTTCATCTAGTGAATGCATATTGTATAGTACAGTTTCTAGTGAGACATTGAGCTTAGTGTTCGAAATGCGTTTCCGTGCGCAGATTCTTAGGGGTAGATTGTGGGGAGCTATTATCACAAAATATTCCAGTGCAGCAGAGCAGATTTCCAGAGGCCTTTCAGAGTACACCTTGATTCGTCTTTAGAAGGCATGTACTGTTATAGACCTTGTTATGTATTCAGTCATAACTATTATTGAAACTGACTATTTGTATTATTTTACGAATGCATTTTGGGAGCTCCCATAAATTGTAAACTCATATTTTATTATGTTTTTATATTATATCATGGATGATTAAATTTCAGAAATTTACAAGCAGCTTTAAAAGAAAAAAGTTTGGGTTACTATTTCGGTAGTCCCGTGTAACATTGTAATCTATGGATCTTCGGGTCGAATTGGATTAGAGTGTTACACGGATACAGGATGGTGAAACAAGTTTGGTTTGACATTTTGGGGACTCATTAACATTCACTAATGACGTGTAGATGTGGTCGATGTGGTGATCAATCACGATAAGTGGTGGTCAAAATCTAGGTAAATTGAGAGAAATGATGAGTAAATTGAAGGGAACATAAAAATTGAGTTTTATAGGATCCAAAAACGATGTTGTTTCGGTGTAAATTTAACTTTTTTAAAACTATATTTTTTGATGTCATTTGTCATGTCAATTATCAAAACATAAGCAATTTGAAAGTTGAGTGATAATTTGAGAATTTCTAAAGTTTATCGATCAAAATAGGAGCCAAAACAAAAATTTGTGAGGATTTGTATAGCTTATCTATAAATTTAAAGGATAGCCTGCACAATATTCACTCTATTTGATTCCTGTGATTTAAAACTAGAATGTACCCGGTTCTTTTTAAGAACAATCAGACTCTTTACTCCCCCCACCCACCCCACCCTTTTTTTTTTTCAAATTCCTTCAACTGCTTGGCAGGGGATCTATAAATAGTTTAATCGTCCGAAATTGACTTTACCCTTCTCAATTTTTTACTTAACTAGATTTGTTCGCTAATTGGGCCTGAATTTTTCTATATCGGTCTGGTTGAACCCAAGTCATTGTTTGTATAAAATTAAGGTTAAATTATATTTATGGTGATTGAATTTATAAGACACTTGCATTTTAGTGTCCGAAATAAAAAGAATATCATTGCAATAATATTTGTTTAGAAAAGCATGATAAACTGAGGAACACATGTATTGTTATATGTTTTGAATGCTTGATATGTCATGTATACGTACATTAGTAAATAAACTTGGTAAATTGTGTAAATATGCTACATGATTAATATTTAGATGTTAATTAACATGTTTAGGAAATTATACGGTAAACTTTGTATGTGCTTTGTGTGTTGGGTTAATGATGCATGTTGGATGAATATTTATACTGAATTTTGACTATATATGTTTCTTAGAGTTCAAAATTTACTTTTAGGTGTTTCTTGAAATTAAAAAAAATTAATTTAACATTTTAAGAGTTTTGTTTCAAAGCTCAACAACAGAATTTCTATGCCAGATTCTAGTAGACGTTTTGGGCATTGAAATCATGCTCTGAGTTTTGAAACCCAAATGATTGGTATCGAAATCACCTAGCTTCTTTTGGTTCTAGCAACCCCAAAACTTGCAAAATTAAATTTGTAGTCTATTTTTATGATTTGTAACCCTTCTTTTGGTATCGAAATCATCCTTTAACCGTAAGGTTAAGTACAAAAAGTGATCTATGATTCATCAAATAGATGAACCTTAAGTCCATTGAAACAGTAAAACAAAACTATGAAAAGACTGTACCTTTTATTTACTTTTATTGAATTCATAGCTTAAATTTAGTGATCCTATTGAGACGTACCTATGAAATCATCAAATTGAAAGGATGTACTACTAAAGGCTCTTAATGAATCCATATCTCAGGGTCTCATTTTATAAAAGACATTTAGTTATTTTTCTATAACATTTTATCAGCATCTCAATACATATTTATTAAATTGTTGATCTATAGTGGAATTCAATTGAATCTGTGATTAGTCGTGTATTATTAGTTTATTATTTTTTATAAGTTCCACATTTATTCTCTTTTTACCATATATTAATTTCAATCTAACATATACCAATCCTTAAGTGTCTGATTCGCTATTGCTCTATTTTCATTTACGCATAAGATTTCAAGGAGGTCATGGTTTTTTATGTTCATTTACTCATAGTAAGTTTCGATTTTAACTATTATTTTTTTATCATTAATATTTTATCTATTATTGACTAATCCGTATAGGATATTATAAAGGTTCATTGTAGAGACTATCTTTTCAATATGATTTATTTCATAACTTCGACATTTGAACTTCTAAAACATCTCATTCCACTAAACCAACTTATTATCGGTAAATCAAATAATTTCTTTTCCTCAACCAGTGCTTTCAGCTTATTTTGCAAATAAAGAATATTGTTTGGTTAAACTACTTGGCAGTTCAAGAGAAAATTTGTCCATCTACTATACAATGAATAACTTAGTATTTGTAAATTTAATTTGATTTAATAGTATATAAGACAAATTTTTTTGAAAAAATTAATGTGACCTTAATTTGAGAAAGGAAAAACTGATTTGTCTCTTTAGTTAACGGAGCTAGACGTTGATAATTATGATGCTGACGTGGTGGTTTAAAATGTTGACGTGGTGGTCTATGATGTTGACATGTTGATTCATGGTGGTTGATGACATGACAAAGAGACTAAATTATTATTTTTTTGATTGAATTCGATGGTCAAATTGATTTTTTAAAAATATTTGAAGGTTTTCAAATTAGAATGAAGGTCATAGTTTATGGATGAAATTAAGTCAATAAAAAATGATATGTCATGCACCAACGAAGGTTGGCCTGAGTGGAAGGGGCTCTGGTCGTTTAAGCAAGTGGTCTTAAGTTCGAGCCCTTGTGGATGCAGAAAACCTTCTTGGGAGAGGTCCCCACCTTTCGTGCCCGTCAGTACTTCGGAGGATTAGTCTCAGGCGAAGCCTGGGGACACATTGGGATACCCAAAAAATAAATTGATATGTCATGCACTCAAGTAATCCGAACAATTTAATCCTTGTCATGTTCAAGAAAACGTCAAATTTACACTTTTAACGTAAAATTTTATACCTCCACGAGACGAGTAAGAATTTCTTAACCTTTGTTAAAAGGTGATTGTTGCTTAAAATTTACTCCACTGCTTAAAAAATAAATGTATGTAGCCTAACTTGTTCATAGACTAACTCACTTTTCAGCTAATGCAAGATATTGTTGCAGTATTTTCAATCCAAGTATACCCGACTTAAACAAGCCTATCAACAAAGTATATTTAAATTTTACGGGATGAGCTTCTAAAGGAAAAAACAAACATGAACAACTAAATAGGGGTTAAATAATTAAAAAAAAGACCAGTGTTTTACTATTAAATATAAGAGTTTAGTGCATGTTGATGTTCCAGTTGATTTCTTTCAGCAAACAATGAGTGGAAAGACCACACGTATTCTGGTTCTGTATCTGCGCACTGTACACACCACTATACTAATAATAATACTATATCCTATGCATTTGTCTTGCTCTTGGATTTTCCCATTCAATTTCAGTTAATAGCAGTGAGTGGAAGTCTGGAATCCTTCAATGGTGGAGCTGTTGATGTTGCTTCATATTCCCCCAATGTGTTTTACATCTCCATTGCCTAATTTTTCTGTTTTTGCTTCCCAAAACAGCTTCAATAGTTCCTCAAATGGAGGAGTTTTGAGTTCCTCCATCGATGACATGCTCGGTGAGTTAAATGCCCTCTTCCTCGGTATTGTACACGATGGGTTGTCCACCTGTGATTATGAGTTGCCGACTAAAATGAAAAAGGTGTTTTATTAAATTTAAAAGCTCTGTTTCGGATGGCATTTACTCTATACCATCTTACCATGTATTCCTCCTCCAGGCATTTCCCAGAATTCTCTGAGATTTCTACTGTCAAGTGGTAGTGACCACCCTTCAGTTCCCTCAATCCCTCACAACAAGGAATGATCATGGAATTCATGTTCCAGCATGCTCCGTGATCAAGTTGTAATGAATCTGCCAGCATTTTTGTTCATCAGTTCTCTTTTTTTATGATCGAATTGAGTTGGTTTAGGTTGGGTTCGAATTAATTGGATCATGATTTTTGAGAATCTATATACTTACGATCAATGGATGTTAGACAGCTGTTGTTTGCAGTGTCTACATCTTCAAGAGCAGTGGACAGGGCACCGGAAAACTGATATCGGAGAATTTGATTGGCTTCCATCCCTCCCCTAAATTGAATAAAGCTAACAAAAATCAGTGATCTATGCCTGAAATTTTTCTAGAACACTTCTGAGAAAATAAAGCTTACCTAACAATGGAATCCACGGAATCAACATTTCTCTTTTCTAAACTAAGAACGGATTCCTGAGCATTCCTCCATTGTTGAGCGCTCATCTTTGCTTTCTTCATGCTGCAACAAGAATTATTTTGTAGGATGTTCAGTGCATACTAAAAAAATAACATTTGAAGCAAAAAATCGATGCAAGGGAAAAAACAACGCATACTACAACTCTCTCTTGGATGCTTATTGTGTGGGTATAATACCAAAACAAGCAATCGTTTATTTTGTGCGCCAATTTTCAAAGCAACATTGGAGGCTTTGTAGGAATTATAGAGATATGATTTATTATGATTTGATATCATTCCTTTAGTTAAGGGATTTTGTACATATATTTATACAATCCCTTATTTTAAGGGATCACATCCTAGGATTAGTATTTTTCCTTTCTTAAGTGTTTCCTACTTTAGAAAGATAATTTGTATATAAATATGTAATCTGTCCTATTGAAAATAATATGAAAATACATAGAATTACTCTGATTTCTACATGGTATCAGATTAGGTTACGGTTTCTTTCCAACCTAGACGATGTCCACAACTTCTTCTCCTACTCCGGAGATCACATCGAATCCAGAAAATTTTTCTGGTTCTGCTGCTCAATCAAAAGGTAATATGGTCATGAAAGAACCAAAAAGTAAACCTCATGCTAAATTTTTTTCTCCTCCCAGTTGACCCCTAATTGGATCCTCGATTCTGGTGCTACGGATTATATGACTGGTAATACGGATTTGTTTTGAAATTTTTTTCCAACCTTTGGTAAAGCTGTCAAAACGGCTGGTGATTACTTGTGCAAAATAGAAGGACATGACATTGTTATTCTCAATGACCAGATTATACTTAAAAATGTCCTATTCGTACCAAATCTTGTTTGCTATCTCGTTTCTGTTGGTAAAATTTCCACCGACTTGCATTGCTCTGCAATTTTTAATGATATTGATTGTACTTTGTAGGCACTGAACTCGAAGAAGATGATTGGTAAGGCCAGCTTGCAGAATGGTCTCTATATTCTTCCTGCCTCTACTAAAATCGAAATCTCGAAATCTTTCACCACTTTAGAAAAAGTTGATAATGTTATGTTATGGCACTATCGTTTAGGCCATCCTAGTTTCCACTATCTTTTAAAAGTTTTTCATTCTCTATTCATTCATAAAAGGCCAAACAAAATTCTTGAAAAGTTTGCTCTTTTGCCAAACATACAAAATCAACTTATTATCCTTCTACATATAAGCCTTCTCACCCTTTTGCTTTGATCCACAGTGATATTTGGGGCCCTTCTCGGGTGAAGAATGCTGATAATTGTAAGTGGTTATCACTTTCATTGATGATCACAGTAGGATAACTTGGACTTATTTGCTAAAAGATAAATTTGAAACTGCTGGTGTTTTTACCCAATTTTATAACATGGTTGTCACTCAATTTGGGTCTAAAATACAACTCTTTAAATTTGATAATGGCAGTGAATTTTTTTTCTAAGTCTTTGGGTGTGTTTTTCAGGAAAAAGGGTATAGTTCAGATTAGTTCTTGTGTTGACACCCCAAAACAAAACGGCATTGCCGAAAGAAAAAATAGACACCTCCTTGAAGTTACTCGTTTTCTTCTATTTACCACTAATGTTCCAAAATATTTGTGGGAGGAAGCCTTATTAACTTCTGATACATGCATCACAAGGCTCACATCAAAGGAAGAAGTAATAACTCTTCCAAATGATCCACTCGTCCAAGCATTGGAAAAGAAGATCAGAACAGAACCAGACTTACGACGACTTTTTGAATGGGATCCTGATATTATTTAGTCAATATGCCTTCTGGATATACGACCGTCTGTCTCTTATCTTTCCAACGGTTGTTGAATCGCATCAATCCGATATCGGGAACTCAATATATGATTATTTTACTGAAGACGGTGCATGCAGAAAATCATATACGAGATTTTGTAAATATTACGAATTTTCAATATTTTTATTGATTATTTGTAATATAACTTAATATAGGATGATGCATTATCTTTTAGGATTAAATTTATTATTTTATTATGAATTAAGGTTGGGTTAAAAATATTATCTTTAGTTATTATTATTTTATTAGGAATTAGAGTTAAGATATGTTTAGTTTATTATTATTTTATTCATTAGTTATTTAGGACCTTTAGAACTAAGCCCCTATATAAAGGAGGCTTCATTAAACTTTGTAATTCAAGATTTCTTTGATTAATAATACAACGAGAGTTCGTTTTTGCAAGTGCTGATTGTCTTGTGCCTTCGAAGCTTCTTCTCCTAGAGTTATTTCAAGTTCTTGTGAGGGAGATTAATCTTCACACTCCAATTTGCCTTTTCATCGCGACTAGGAGGGTTGGTTAGAGCCATTTATCGAGTTTGCCTTTTCATTGCGACTAGGAGGGTTCGATAGGACACTTATCCTTCTATTTTTCCACAAATCCATCTGCACCATCAATCATCTTTACCGTCCACCTTCGTAAGGGAGATCTTTTGATTTCTTTATTATCTTATTTTATTTTTAATTTCTTTATCTTTTATTTATTTTGTTCTAATCTTATTGCCTCGAAGAAACCCTAAAGAATCTTAGTTACTGCTGCCACCTTCCCCTATTCATCCCCTTTGTTCTTAATCGAGTCTAGAGCTTTCTAGGTTTGATTCTTCAACAAGAGCAACGTTCATTAACCCGCCACCGCTTCCCTATCAATTGGTATCAGATTTGGGCCGATTCTTGGAAAGAAGCAAGCAATCTTGTTTGTTCTTGCACACAACACCGTCAAGGTACCCCAACAGAGCTAGTTTAGAGAAGATTCATCATTTCAGGTTATTTTTATTTAATTTTAATTTAGATTCAAATCCTTCTTGTTAGTTTGCTATTTTTTTTCAAAAAAGACAAAAAAACAAAAAAGCTAAAATTTAAAAAAAAATTGTAAACAAAGGTATTTAGGACTGATTTTCTCCATATATCATATTCGTCTTAAGTTTAATCTCCAGTCAAAAATTCACTTCGATCAGAGTTCATTAGATCCTTCAAATACATCATTCAAGTTTTATCGGCAGATTCGGTCTAGAATATTGTCAAATTTCTTGAAAATTCTATAGGAAAAATTTTATGGTGAAAATTTTCATATTGCAACTTCATATATTGAATATCATTCACACAAAAAATCAGAATTTTCGGAGATCAAGAACAACTTCAAAAAAAGCGATCAAGAAAAACAGATTGTTTGAGGACTCACCGTTCAACAGAGTCTACTGGATACTACTGAAGGTATTAGGTTATGAAATTTTACAGGTGGTTTCTTGACGCAATTAATGACATTCAAGAATTTTTCCAGAATTTTTGGACACCGGTAACCCCCTCAAAAACGTTGCTCAAGTTGATCCATCGTTTTCTAGGTTTTCTGGTTTGGTCCCTTTTTCTTTTACTCTTAGTGCTTTAGGTTCTTTTGTTTTTCCCTATTATTGTTCTTTTGCATTATCTAACACATTATCTTCCTTGTGTTAGTAGGACTAAAGAGTTTGCATACTTCTTCCTTCTTTGCATTCTCGTTCTCTTGGAGTCTAACCTTGTTTGGCCTCTTAGAGCTTTTAGGTTTTTTCTCATCGCCTTTGCTAGTAATAAAACTCCAATACGAACTGTGGAAGACTACTTGGTAAAGTGAGTTTTAAAGAGTACAAGATCGGCTTACTTGCCTCTCGTTGTGTTACTTTCTTGGAGTGACTTGTGAGGTTTCTTGCTTTGTTGAATTTTCTTTCTTTTATTTTTATTTTACTTTAAAATTTTCTTTCGAGTGTTATGATTTTAGGATGTGTGACAATAACAACAAGACACTTACGGCTATCTTAGCCGCACTTGCACGACTCACGACTCAAGACTCAAGTTGAAAGATTTGATGAACTTACCAATACCGTGAGAGAACGACAAGAACCACAACTGGATCTACCAAACCAGAATCCAAGACTAAACAATGCTGAATTTTTGGTACCCAGGCGAGAACAACCACGTTTCCAAGCACCTGAACTCTTTGAAAAACCAAAGTTCATGATCCCGTCTTTCAAAGGAGACAACGATCCGGACAGGTACATCGATTGGGAAGGAAAAGTTGATCTCATATTCGCATACCATGACTACCCCCAAGCTAAACAAGTTCCCCACATAACCATGCAATTCGAAGGATATGCTCAAACTTGGTGGATGCAAACAAGGAAAAAGATCCAGAATTTCCAAATTCCAACAATCACTTCTTGGACCGACCTCAAACAAACCATGAGGAAGCGATTCCTACCGACACATTATACACGAGAAGTTAAACTACGACTACACCGACTTCAACAAGGTAGAAGTTCAGTTGAAGACTACTACAAGGAGATGCAGTCCTTACTCAATAGGGCTAACATAACCGAAAAAGGAAGAAGTCACTGTGCCAAGATTCGTTGTCGGCTTGAACTCAAACATCACTGATCTTCTTGACCTCCATGGGTACGAAAACCTTGAAGATACACTAAAGAAAGCAATGACAATCGAAGTACAAATCCAAAGGAGATTCCGAGAACATTACCAAGGTACTTCATCCTCTTACCAAGGTAATCCTTCAAATCCTTCCTCGTCTTCTACTCCATCTTCTCTAAAAAAGCTAAGAGATGACAAACCTGACAAGGAGAAAGAACGATCAGCAAAGAATGACACACTTCCGTCCCTAAAGATCAAATAATAATTTGTGAGGAGGTAGGGAAAGCAAAAAAAGAAAAAGTTGAGAAAGAGGCAAAAGTAAAAGAGGTCACTAGTTATAAAAACCAAAAGAATAATGACCCATGGGAGATGAGTGAACCTAAATGTGAGAAGAAATGAGTGACTCAAAATCTATGTGTGAGCACAAAAGAATTGAGAGAGAACCTTATTTACAAACAACCTTGCATCCTTGTTTGCTTTAGGGAATAAATTATTTCGATTTCTAACATTAACAAGGATTTGCCTAGTTTGTTTTCATCTCTTTTACAGGATTTTTGAGAAGTGTTAGGTGGTCTACCTAATGAACTACCACTGAAAAAGAGGAAAACAATGCCAAACCAATCTAATTCAAGGTTATATCATACCTCGTCAAACATACAATCTCGAAGAAACCAAAGAGTTGGATTTGTTACAAAAAGGCTATATCCAGGAAAGCCTTAGTCATGACGCCATCTTAATGAAGAAACATGATTTGAACAACTCTACAGGCTTTATAGTTCGTGCACAGGAAATCCATGTAAATGATGAAATAGTAAAAGCAACACGAGACTGGCCCACACCATCTTCCATAGCCAAGAGTTGTCGAATAATATTAGGTGACCCTCCTGACGGGTTACCACCTGAAAGCCCTAATCACTATGCCATATCAATGAAGAGTCACGATTTACGGGAGTCCAAAGGTAAATATTTTATTACTCATTTTAATGACATTGTAACAAACTTCTTCTCCCTCTTACAAGGAAAGGCTCGTGAAGTTGTCATCCATACTAAACACAACTCCTTTAAGTGTGTAAGCAAAACACATTAGACGATGCAAACAGGTTCTACAATCCAAAAATTCCTACGAGAATCTTAATTCATGAACCACACTTAGGAGACTAAGGATTACTTTAACAAACCAATTGACATGGTTTTTAAACACTCATTCTCACCACACACGAAAAACCATAGAGAATTATCTGAAGCAATCATACAGAAAGCAAACAGTGGTCGACACCATGTTGAATTTCAACCTAAACATCAGATTACAAGACTTGTATGCAAAAGGGGATTTCAAGACTACAAGAAATCAGTTCCTACAAAGAAGAAGCCTCGACTGAAACGCATAAAGACACATCACATTGATCTTGGTAAATGTTTCACAAGTTTTCCTTTCAAACATCTAAGTTTTCTCTTGGATTTTTAGATTCGAGGACGAATCCTTTTGAGGAGTGGGGGAAGGGCTTTAATGTTTCAGATTCGAGGTTAATCTTTTGAAGAAAGGGAGGATGATACATGCATCACAAGGCTCACATCAAAGGAAGAAGTAATAACTCTTCCAAATGATCCACTCGTCAAGCATTGGAAAAGAATATCAAACAGAAGCAGACTTACGATGACTTTTGAATGGATCCTGATATTATTTAGTCAATATGTCTTCTGGAGATACAACGTCTTATTTTCCAACGGTTGTTTAATCGTATCAATCCGATATCGGGAACTCAAGATATGGTTATTTTACTGAAGACGGTGCATGCAGAAAATCTTATACGGGATTTTGTAAATATTACGAATTTTCAATATTTTATTGATTATTTGTAATATAACTTAATATAGGATGATGCATTATCTTTTAGGATTAAATTTATTATTTTATAGGAATTAAGGTGGGTTAAAAATATTATCTTTAGTTATTATTTATTAGGAATTAGAGTTAAGATATGTTTAGTTTATTATTTTATTCATTAATTATTTAGGACCTTTAGAACTCAGCCCCTATAAGGAGCTTCATTAAACTTTGTAATTCAAGATTTCTTTGATTAATAATACAACGTGAGTTCATTTTTGCAAGTGCTGATTGCCTTGTGCCTTCGAAGCTTCTTCTCCTGGAGTTCTTTCAAGTTCTTGTGAGGGAGATTAATCTTCACACTCCAATTTTCCTTTTCATCGCGACTAGGAGGGTTGGTTAGAGCCATTTATCGAGTTTGCCTTTTCATTGCGACTAGGAGGGTTCGATAGGACACTTATCCATCTATTTTTCCAGAAATCCATCTGCACCATCAATCATCTTTACCGTCCACCTTCGTAAGGGAGATCTTTTGAATTCTTTATTATCTTATCTTATTTTATTTTCAATTTCTTTATCTTTTGTTTTTTTTTTTAATCTTATTGCCTTGAAGAAACCCTAAAGAATCCTAGTTACTGCTGCCACCTTCCCCTATTCATCCCCTTTGTTCTTAATCGAGTCTAGAGCTTTCTAGGTTTGATTCTTCAACAAGAGCAACGTTCATTAACCCGCCACCGCTTCCCTATCAACTGCCACATATTTAATCAATCGAATGCCTAGTAAGGTTTTACAATTGCAAACACCTCAATCTATATTTTTGCAATACTTTCCCCATTTTAAACCTATCTCCTCCATTCTTCCACTTAAAATATTTGGTTATACTATTTCATCCAAAACATTGCTCCTAATAAGTCCAAGTTAGATCCTAAATCATTAAAGTGTGTACTGGTTGGGTATTCTTCACTTAAGAAGGGTTATAAATGTTATCATCCTCATTCTAAACGATTTTTTACCACTATGGATATAACATTTTATGAGCAGGATCCCTATTTCACTCAGGCTGAAATTCAGGGGAGACATGGAAGGATTTTCAGCCACATCAGGTATCTCCTCCTACTCTTCATTCTCAACCTTCATAATTGCCACCAATTTTATCTTTACCTACAGATTTGTCACCTATAACTACTCCCATTGATTCATTTGTAGTACCAATCACTACTTCACCCACACCTACTTTAAACACCCTTCCTGAAAACACACCTACTCCCATTCAAAATCTTCCACAAACATCACTAATCAAACAACTTCGTGTCTATACAAGGAAAAGAAAACATATTCCTGAGGCTGTTTTGCAATCTGATGCTTGCCGAGAATTGGATTTGGGTCCAGCTACCGAAATATAAGAAGAAATCTGTAAGTCCACTTCCCCTACTCTAGATGACTTCCCTATTGCAATTAGAAAAGGGGTTAGACAATGCACCAAGCATCCTATTGAAAAATTTGCTGGTTATAATTCATTGATGTCGTCTTTTCAAGCATTTACAGCAAACTTGGATAAAGAATAGGTTCCCTCAAGCATAGCTGAAGTTCTAAAGGATTCAATATGGAGAAGGGTTGATGAAGAAGAAATTTGTGCACTAGAGAAAAATGCTACTTGGACCGTTATGGACCTTCCTCAAGGAAAAAAGGTTGTTGGTTGTAAATGGATCTTTGCTGTAAAGTATAATTCCAATAGTAGTATTCAACGATACAAAGCTAGACTAGTGGCCAGAGGCTTTACGCAAACATATGGGATAGATTTCACATAAACTTTTGCACCTGTGGCGAAGCTGAATACTGTTCGAGTACTCTTAAGTTTGACTATAAATTACGATTGGAAATTATACAAACTTGATGTAAAAAACGCTTTTCTTAATGGCAAGCTAGAAGAAGAAGTCTATATGAAGTTGCCGCCTGGCTTAAAGTCTGTTGAATGAAGTAACAAGGTGTGCAAGCTCAACAAGTCTCTATACGGATTAAAACAATCACCTAGAGCTTGGTTCGAGAGGTTCACTAAAGTCATTATGAAAAACGGCTATAAGCAGTCCCTCGCCGATCATACTCTTTTTATCAAGGTAACTTCTACAAATAAGAAAGCTATCCTTATTGTGTACGTGGACGGCATAATTCTTACCGGAGATAATGAAGAAGAGATTTGCAATTTGAAGAAGTTGTTAAATGAGGAATTCGAAATCAAGGACTTGGGAAAGCTAAGGTATTTCCTAGGAATGGACGTGGCAAGGTCAAAAGAAGAACTTGTAATCAACCAAAGAAAATATGTACTTGATTTACTCAAAGAAACTGGTTTTCTTGGTTGTAATCCGATTGATACACCAATGGAGGCAAGCTTGAAATTTAGCAAAGAAGATGGGTCCTTAGTAGACAAAGAGAAATTTTAAAGATTAGTTGGGAAACTAATTTATTTATCCTTGACAAGGCCAAATATAGTCTTTCCCGTAAATGTGATAAGTCAACACATGACTAATCCTACTGAAGAGCATATGGCAGCAGCAAATAGAATTCTCAAGTACTTGAAGAAAACTCCAGGACACGGCTTAATGTTTAAGAAGACACAAGGCAAAACTGTTAAAATTTTTACAGACACTAATTGGGTCGGAGACCTTACTGAAAGGAGATCCACTAGTGGCTACTGCATATTTATTTGGGGTAACCTTACAACTTGGAGAAGTAAGAAACAATCTGTCGTGTCAAGAAGTGGTGTTGAAGCTGAATTCAGAGCACTAGCATTGGGGATATACGAAGGAATTTGGCTACTTAACCTACTGAAAGAACTTGACACTAATCAATATGATCACTTTGAAGTCTTGTGTGATAATCAATCTGCTATTCAAATTGCTAAGAACCCAGTTCAACATGATCGGACAAAGCATGTTGAGATTAATAGGCATTTTATAGTTGATCAAGTTAACAAAAAGACAGTCACACTTTCATACATTTCTTCATAAGAACAAGTTGCAGACATTCTTACTAAGGCTTTGTCAAAGCCCGTTTTCAATAAATTCCTATTCAAGCTGAGATTATACAATGTATATTCTCCAGCTTGAGGGGGAGTGTAGGAATTATAGAGATATGATTTGTTATGATTTGATAACATTCCTTTAGTTAAGGGATTTTGTACATATATTTATACAATCCCTTATTTTAAGGGATCACATCCTAGGATTAGTATTTTTCCTTTCTTAAGTGTTTCCTACTTTAGAGAGATAATTTGTATATAAATATGTAATCTGTCCTATTAAAAATAATATGAAAGTACAGAGAATTACTCTGATTTCTACAGGCTTATTCTTAGAGTTTACTTAAACACAGGCAGCATGACCCTTGGCTTATTCTTAGAGCTTACTTAAACACAAGCAGCATGACGCTTGGCTTATTCTTAGAGCTTACTTAAACACAAGCAGCATGACTCTTGGCAGGTAGTTTTGGATTCGGCTGTATATTTTTGTATTTCCTAGAACTTGTATAATTACATGATTTAGCAAGAATGCAATGGAAGACTTCAGAGAAGAATGACTTGATCGCTAGTGGAGCTATTTCGGTTGATCACTCAAGCAACTAGAGATAGACTGATCAACTTAATGCCTTTTTTATTGTTGATTGGGGAATAGGTACTTGAATGCAATGTAGTATGGCTACGTACCCTTGTCAAGCTTTGAAGCAAAACTTTGCTTCAGATAAATAAGAAATTACTTAACCAGGAAAAAAAATAAAAAGAAAACAACCCGTACCAGTTTTGAAGAACCTCTTGCATATCTTTCTTTCCGCTTTCGACAGCAGAAGTATCTTCAATGTAATGGGATTCTGTGTTTTCCATGTGAATATTCCACTCCGTTTTAACAACAGTGTACTCTTGCATGGTAGACATTTCTTTCTGTAGCTCACTTGTTTTGCTGGACGCATTATCCCGGAGATCATGGACTGCCATTTGGACCTAAAAAGAAAAAAAATAAAGGAATTTATTCCCAAAATAGTTATCAAACACAGATCAAGAACCCTCAGCTCATATGAATATTGAAATCAGCAGTTATATATATAGGTACCAGTTTTTTCTTCCTAGCACTTGAAAATGCAAGCAGTTCTGCCACCTTTTGTAGCATTTGCTTCTCTCCATTCGTGGCACATTCCTACATGTATCATAGATTTGAATTGAACTTAATGGTTACCAGCTTTAAGAAAGAAAATTTGTCAGAGTTAAGAACTATTAAGTACCTCAAACTTCTTTTCAAATTCAGACAATTTGTTGTCATTCATTATTTGTGCTTCTTCCACAACTTTGGTCAGCCTGGCTGCATGCATGTCTAAAGTCTCGAAGAAATTCAGTTATTTTAGAAATTGACCTTGCATTGTCTACTTCCCTGGAGTGTGCCTGTAGATGAAATAGAAGGAAGTGAGTCCACTACCAACACCTCTAAATTACTGATAGCTGAGACACAAAGCATAAAGATATAAACCTCGTACTATTGTCGTGCAAATGCAGTTAGCTTCTCCTCTTGCTTGTAAAGATTACTTTGAAGGTCATCAAGTAATGCTTCAGCCTCAGAAGTAATTCCTTTGAACAACTGAACCATATAAGTAACATTATAAGAAGGAGAAGTAGAAAAGAAATGTTCACTTAAAAACTAAACTATCAGAATACTGCTTACATCTTCCACATAATGCGAATGCTTAGAAACTTCAGAATTTAGATCACCCAACGTTGAAACAAAATTTTCATCAAGTTTCGAGGCTATATTGTCCAAAGCTTTGACACCCAAAGCATACGTGCTCTTCAATTTCCCTAATCTTCCTCTAAGTTCTTCTGTAGCCTGCAGGCATACAAAGGATAAACTATTAGAGGCTGTCAATCAAGTCCCTGAATATGTTCAACTAAGCTGTTGAAACAATACCTCTGACTTTGTCGATACAAAAGAATGCATATCTTTTTCCATGCGTTTGAGTTGCTGCTCCTGTTGAGTCACAGAAGTTAACACAGTCTTGTGCAAGATATCAAGCTGCTGGGTCAACTGGGACTGGAACTTTCGAATAAGTGCTTTGTTTCTATCCTCAATTTTATCCTTTCTTTCTGAAAACCAAACAACGTTTGGAAAACAAAATCTTTATGGAACATGTCTTTCTATAACAAGTGTTCTCTGAAGGATACTAACCGATCTTTGAAAACAAATCTGAGACATCTGATGCCGCATTTTCGAGCTCTGCTCGGAGATCCAAAGCACAGTCAACAAGTGTTTTCTCTGAAATTTTGGCAATGGCCATATTTAGTTTCATAAACATTAAATAAGCAAGCATGAATTCACGCTAAAAAGATAAAAGTGACGGAACAACCATCCAAATGAAAATAAAGAAAAGGGGAAAATTGCTCATACAAGAGAAGTTGCCGAAGCAACCTCCAACTCACCAGATTTAAGAAGATTGGATATAAAAAATTCCTTCTCTTTAATAGTTGCATTTGCTTGCCTATGTTTATCTTCAATATCATGTTGAAAAGTCAAATTCTTTGGCTATTAGTAGCCGGCGGCTATCTTTTCCAAATTGGATGCTATTTTGGTTCAAATTGGGCTGCTAAAATGGTTGAAAATTAGCAAGGTACAACTACACATTTAGTTATTGTATTTTAGGGTATTTACAAATTAGTCCTTAAGTTTCAACTATAAATACCTTAGCTCATTTAGCTTCAAAATCATCCCAAAGCATTCTAGCTTTCTTCCAATACTAGAGAGAATTTAGAGAGTTTCTTGAGAGTTGTTTTCTCCTTTTTATCTAGAGAGAATTATCATTGTTTTCTCCTTGGTAGATCGAGAGATGTTGTAATTCCTATTTTCTCATAGTGAAGTTCTTCTACCGTTGCCCGTGGTTTTTACCCTATATTATTTAGGGGTTTTCCACGTAAATTTTATGTCTTCTTTATCTTTATTTTTATTTTCTCAAATTATCAGTTGCGATTTTGCTCTATCCGATAGCCGTCTTCCGCAACAATTGGTATCAGAGCCAGATTTGAGTGTGTAATATCTGCTTATTGTCTTTGTGGTTGCAACCAAAAGGTGGATCCTCCAACATAAGAAAATAAGAAGGTATTACCCATTCTTTGAGGTTCTAGAGAACTATTCACGATAGTGAAATAGTGAGAGCTATCAATAATAGAAGCTATGGCAACAAAATTTGACATTGAAAAGTTCAATGAGAGAAATTTCTCATTGTGGAAATTGAAGATGAAGGCCATCCTAAGGAAAGACGGGTGTCTAGCGGCTATCAATGAAAGGCCGGTGGATTTCGTAGATGACATCAAATGGAACGAGATGGACGGGAATGCTATGGCAAACTTTTATCTAGCATTAGCAGATGAAGTATTGTCAAGCATCGAGGATAAGAAGACAGCTAAGGAGATATGGGATAATCTCACCAAATTGTACGAGGCCACATCGTTGCACAATAAAATTTTCCTTAAGAGAAAATTGTACACTCTCCGTATGCCAGAATCTACTTCAGTGACGGAGCACTTAAATACACTGAACACTTTATTTTCTCAGCTTACATCCTTAAGCTGTAAAATAGGAGAACAAGAATGTGTTGAACTTCTACTTCAAAGTCTACCGTATTCGTATGATCAACTCATCATCAACTTGACAAACAGTAATGTCACTAGTCTAGTATTCGATGACGTTGCAGCTGCTGTTCTACAAGAAGAAAATCAGTGCAAGAACAAGGAAGACAGACAAGTAAATCTGCAACAAGCAAAAACATTGACAACGATGACAACGATGAGAGGGAGATCAACAGAACGTGGCCAAAGCAGCAGTCACAAACATGGTAGATCGAAGTCGAGGAGCAAGAAGAATTTAAAGTGCTACAACTGTGGAAAGAAGGGTCACTTGAAGAAAGATTGTTGGAGTCTAAATAAAAACTCCAACCCACAAGGCAATACCGCAAACACTTCAGATGATGGAGATGCTCTATGCTGTGAAGCGTCAACCACCGTGGAAGGCAGAAAAAGATTTACATATATATGGCTCATTGATTCAGGAGCAACATATCACATGACCTCAAGAAGATAATGGTTCCATCAGTATGAACTTGTCTCAGGAGGATCTGTGTATAGTTGCAATGATCATGCCTTAGAGATCATTGGTGTGGGAACTATCAAATTGAAGGTGTACGATGGAACAATCAAAGTTGTTCGAGATGTGCGGCACGTGAAAGGCCTGAAGAAAAATTCATTATCCTACAGATTGTTGGATAATAATGCAAGCAAGATTGAAACACGGAAAAGAATCATGAAGGTGTTCCGTGGAGTGCTTGTGGTGCTGAAAGGCGAAAAGATAGCAGCAAACTTGTACATGCTGAAGGGAGAAACTTTGCTAGAAGCAGAAGCCTCTGTTGCCTCATGTAGTTCAGATTCTGCAATGCTATGGCATTAGAAACTTGGACACATGTCAGAACAAGAAATGAAAGTCCTTGTGGAACAAAAGCTACTTCCAGGCTTAACAAAGGTATCACTTACTTTGTGTGAGCACTGCATAACAAGTAAGCAGCACCGGTTGAAATTCAACACATCAAATTCTAGAGGCAAAAGTGTTCTAGAATTGGTTCACTCTGACGTATGGAAAGCACCAGTAACATCCATAGGTGGAGCAAAATACTTTGTCTCATTTATTGATGACTACTCCAGGAGATGTTGGGTGCACCCTATTAAGAAGAAGTCATACATGTTTTCAACTTTCAAAAACTTCAAAGCACGGGTGGAACTTGATTCTGGAAATAAGATCAAGTGTTTCAGAACAGATAATGGAGGAGAATACACAAGCGAAGAATTTGATGACTTTTGCAGGAAAGAATGCATCAAAAGACAGTTCACAGTGGCAAACACTCCTCAACAAAATGGAGTGGCAGAGCGGATGAACAGAACCTTGTTAGAAAGAACAAGAGCAATGTTGAGGGATGCAGGCCTAGAAAAATCATTCTGGGAAGAAGCAGTCAATACAGCCTGTTATTTGGTGAATCGAGCTCCATCAACTGCAATAGAGCTGAAGACACCAATGAAGATGTGGACTGGAAAACCAACTGATTATTCAAACTTTCATGTATTTGGAAGTATAGTGTACGTGATGTACAACTCCCAAGAAATTTCAAAGTTGGATCCAAAATTCCAGGAAATGCAAATTCTTGGGGTATGCTGATGGAGTAAAGGGGTATCGCTTGTGGGATCCCACTGCCCGCAAAGTGATCATCATCAGGGATGTTATCTTTGTAGAAGATAAGCTACAAAGAAAAGAAGACGATAATAGCGCTGAAATTCAGAGACTACACAGATACATGTGGAAAAGGAGTTTGAACAAGGAGATTCTTCTGAAGCAGAACCAACACATGATGAACAAGAACCAGAGAGTTCTGAAGCTCCAACAACTCGACAATCAGATCGTGTTAGAAGACACCCCAATTGGCACTCAGATTATGTTATAGAAGGTAATATTGCATACTACCTTTTAACAGAGGACGATGAGCCATCAACATACCAGGAGGCAATAAACAGCTCAGATGCTTCACTGTGGATGATGGCGATGCAAGAAGAAATTGAAGCCCTTCATAAAAATAATACATGGGACCTTGTGCCACTACCACAAGGAAGGAAGCCAATTGGTAACAAATGGGTTTTCAAAATCAAGCGAAATGGTGATGATCAAGTGGAGAGGTATCGTGCAAGAGTGGTGGTCAAAGGATATGCTCAGAAAGAAGGTATTGATTTCAATGAAATTTTTTCTCCTGTGGTTCGATTAACAAAAGTTCGAGTAGTCTTGGCAATGTGTGCTACATTGAATTTACATCTAGAACAGCTAGATGTTAAAACAACTTTTCTTCATGGAAATCTTGAAGAAGAGATTTATATGCTCCAACCTGAAGGTTTTGAAGAAGACGAAAATAAGAACTTGGTTTGTAGGTTGAACAAATGTCTGTACGGTCTAAAGCAGGCGCCGATGTGTTTGTATAAGAGATTTGATTCCTTCATTATGTGCCTTGGATACAACAGACTTAATGTTGACCCTTGTGCTTATTTCAAGACGTCTGGTGATAACGATTTTGTTATATTGATGTTGTATGTGGATGACATGTTGGTTGTAGGACCCAACAAAGATCATATTGAAGAATTGAAGGCACAACTGGCTAGTGAATTTGAAATGAAGGACTTGGGATCAGCAAACAAGATTCTAGGGATGCAAATTCACCGAGACAGAAGTAATAGGAAGATTTGGCTTTCACAAAAGAATTACTTGAATAAGATCTTATCACGATTCAGCATGCAAGATTGTAAGCCAATTTCTACTCCTCTTCCTATTAACTTCAAATTATCCTCCAGTATGAGTCCTAGCAGT